TCAGCAGGAGGTCAGTGACTCTCTAAAACTATTGAACCAAAGGTAGAATCCAAGAGCAACTTAAATCCGACCAACATAAGTCCAAGGAAGAGCTAACTTAAAACTAAAACCAAGGTTAATTTTGTGTGGATGGGGTTCCTGAAACACTGGTGAACATCATCTGGGACATCTGTTTTGGAAGCCAAACTAGATTCTGGTATGTCACTGTGGCCTGCTCCACTACAGAGCTAAGCTGGACTGCAACCAGTGTGCACTAGAGGAAAAACTGGAACCGAATCTCCACTGCACACAAAACTTTAACCTATATTCAAAACGGAATCTGACATTGACATAAAGGAAATTTCCTTCTCTACAGAACCACTGACAGGAGAGAGAAGCTCTACATCAGATCAGGGCAGCACAAACTGCAATTCTGCAGAACAAATTCTAGAAGCAGGAATCTGCAGAATCATTTTGATATTTGGTACACATTCAGTGATTAAAATGTTAATTTTGATAAGATTATAGCATATGCTACCACTGATGCTATTTAAGTAGAAGAGGAGCTTCCTTTGAGTGAGCCTGGGCATAGACACAGCACTGATCTACTTACTTTCACAGGCTGTCCTGATGGCTCGTGCTTTTGGCCACAGACACTCCAGCAGAATTTTTGTTTCCTCGCAAATCAGCATGCATTCAATCCGCAACTGGTAGCTAAAAGAGATCAGTGGAAAAAAACCCCAATAAACACCACAAAAACAAAACCCACAGGCTTGATTAATTGACTTGTGTTCAGCAAGAGAATCACCCATTTTAGGCAAAGCGCAGTACTGGCATTGTTCTGTTCTCTTTAATGCTCTGACACGAGAACTGGATTATAAATAAATCAAACAGATATTTCCAAAGATGTCCTAGAAACAATTATCATCTCTTTCAGAAAGCACTGTTGCACTGGCATCTGGCAGTGACTTCCTTGCATAATGAGGCCATAATTTTTGACAATTCCTGGGCAGCGATAGCCAGGATTTTCATTCTGCCTTTTAACTTCCCAAACAGAAATGCAAAATACTTTTGCGGTGATGTCCTTTAATGATATTTATGTTTCACTATGAAAACATTTTCTAAAGCACTTTTAAAGCTAGCTATAAGTTTGAGAAAATGAAAAGCCACATTTTCACCATGCTGTTTTCAAAAAAGTGTCTCCAGCTGTGACATGGCAACCGAACAGAGGGATGGAGGGCTATTCCTATGAATTACGATATATCACCACATTTTTATGAACAGCATAAAGATTTCTCTGTGTACACCTCATGTGACTTGGTAAAAGTCAGAGAGGTGGTGAAAGCACCAGCACTGCCGTGATTCACTCGTGGGTTTGTGGGCTCTCCTTGGCAGGCCGGAATCTCTAAACCAGGGGTGGAGCGAATCAGCAGCCTGGCGGCGGGATTCAGTCTGCAACTTCACACCATGCAGATAGTGGCTGTTACAACAGTCAAGAGTTTTCTCACTGCCTTATTAATATCAAAGTTAACTTCACTGCAGTTTGCCAAAGGTGTCTAAAAGCCCGTTTGGCCTTTGGGAAAGAAAAGTTTCTCAAACCAGTTGCACAAATAGCAGCCTCATGATGTATCCTGAAGGCTGAGCATCAGGAACATCCTTCTAGCACAGGAAAGAGAGGCCTTAATTCTTATGGACAAATCTGATAGGAACCACACTCATGGGTTGAAGACAAGGAAAGTTTTGCTTACCTAGGAACTTCCAAGAGATGGAGATAAAACCGGTCTGCATTTGCTAGTTCTGATTTTTCTTCTTTGCAAGATTTGAGGCCATTTATCTAACAGGGAATATAACAATAAAATACCTGCACAAATGTTTCCGGTTCCCAATCACTTCACTGGCCTTTCTGAACTTGCTATGTGCACAGGCAATGGGACTGGGAAACGAACTGGTTTGCAATGGCAAACACATGAGTATTATTCTGACTTGGAAGGTCATCTGCATTTGTACAGCATGTTGTATGCATTTGTACAGCATGTAATCCCTGACCCACAGGCAGGACTTCAGCTACAATGCATCCAAGTCTAGCAATCATCTGCATTTGTACAGCATGTTGTATGACAGATCCCTGATCTACAGGCAGGACTTCAGCTACAACGCATCCAAGTCTAGCAACCTCTTTAAAAAGGTGGGTCCTTTCTCCTCATTGAAACCTGCTCTGAAAGGCTCTTTATTCACTTATGTCCACAAATACTAATGTACCTCATCCATCTAATTAAAATAACGGCAACAGAGAGCAGCAGTTGGTCTACACCTGTGTTGAGTCTCCCAACATGCTGCTGGATAACCTTTACATGAAGAGGCCAGACTGTTACTGGGGCAGGCTTCCCACCGCTCAACCTTGGAAGGTCACTGACTGAGAAGGTGCAGGAGGATGTGTGCTTCAAGCTGAGCACAAAATATACTGAACTCCATCAGAATAACACATTTAATCGATACCTCATGGTCTTCAGGCAGCAGTTTAAATAGCTGCTTCAGTATCTCAGCATCCAACTTGGATCTATCCCCTTTCTGAATCATGGCAGCAATCTCTTCATTGGAGCTGCAGGAAAGAGAAAGGTTCTGTGGAGCAATGGTGTAGGGAGGAGTAACGTGACAAACAAGAGACCTCAATCTCTCAGCTAGCACTGCAGGAGTAAATTAAGTAATTCTTACTATACTTGCCTCCCATTATGTTTTGGATCTTAGTCCTCAGAAGTACAGTGGAGATGTGAAAAAGCAAAGGATTTTTTTAAACCTGAAGCAATATTCCTCATAATTTAGATGTGCTTTCTGGTCTTTTTTCACCTTTACACAACAAACCCCGAAGGCTCTCCTTTACTGTGGGTGTCCAGTGTCACTGAGAAGAGATTTACTTTTGAATTTCTCCACTGCTTGCAGCAAAGTCAAGGCTGAAACCGATGGCTCTCCTCCTGCTGAGAAGTATTTATAAAGATCCCAGAAGGTTTTACCCAAAATCCTTGCCTGAAACTTTGGCAGACAACATGACTTTGAAATGAGTCCAGCCTGCTCTGGTTTGGGCTCTGGAGAGCTCAGCTCCCTGTGGCCACTGGCACTAATAGAGGCAGCAGCGGGCTGCAGAGCAGCACCATCCCTCTCGAGCGCAAGCGGGGCTCAACTCTTTGATCCCACGGCCACTAGCTGCTCTCAGGAGAGCTTAACCACTGCCCAGGGAATCACACAGAGGGAGGAAATAGCAACTGGATTAGGCTATGCAGAGCTCTTCCCCACCGAGACACAGTTTGCAATGGAAAAAGAATAAAATAATAATAATAAAAAACCCTCAAACCCTCACTAATTCTGATTTATTCTTAACACGAAGGAACTTGTAGGCTGACTTTCTTTTTGAAGCCCTTGTAACATGGGCCATTGCACAAAGGGCAGGGAGAGAGCTGAAAATCCACCTTCATCCTGCAGTAGTTTCAGGGAATCTAAAAGTAAAGATATTTTGCCGATAACTAGTACAGATTCCTTTCTTTTGTTCCCCACCCCCGCCAGTGAGGACTGTGACTTGGTAAATTTCCAGTTCTTTAGTTATAGAAACTGTTCCCTATTTATAGAGAAAAACTGCAAATGAGAACTACATATGATTTTGGATCTGAACCCCTGGAGATGTCGCTTTAAAAATCAATTAAGTAACTTGAAACTTCCAATCAGGAATTTCCACTAATGGTTGCTGCCAGCAGATGATATTTATGTCAATAATAACAAAGAAAAATATGTTTCCACATGATTTTGCTGTTACTTATGAATATTGTCTCTTTAGGAATTAGTGGTCACTTTTAGGTTTAATATCAGTTTGAGAGATGATATTAATTGTCTGGAAAGAGAATGCCACATCTCATTAGTTTAAAAAAAAAAAAGAGAAAAAAAGTTGATGCTTTGCTAGAGATAGACAGTGGTTGTAAAGTATTTCTGCTAAATTTATTTCATTTAATATCTGAATAAACACATAGACACATTAAATAAGTAATTCAGATGGTACTCTCCAAATCTTACCACTTAAATTGCTTCAGAAATATACTCAAAAGGAGGCTTTTCTTTGGACCTATGAAAGTGACCTGTGGAAAAAAAAAAAGAAGTCAGCTAGAAATACATTTACTTTGATTTTAGTAGAGATTTTAGAGATTTTGTTTGCTTGTTGGGTGAGATTTATTCTTCTCTGGTAATAACATTATCAACAATCTTCATTGATCAAACTCAAAGCAATTTACAGAAGTACACATCATTAGATCTGTTTTAGAAAGAGAAAGAGGCAAAGGCATAGAGAAGGGAATTGATTTGTCCAGAATACTCCATTTCATAAGAATTAATGCTGAAATTCCCATTTCCTCTCCCTCTCAGATCAAGACCTGTCCCTTAGCAGAGTTACTTCAACATGTTTAATTCTAAACCTCTGCTGTGCTTTTTTTAGCCAATCTTAGGCAATGGATATCAAAATATTTCAAACTTTTGTATTAAAAATGATTGACAACAATTAAAAGTGAATAAGCTTTTAACTTCCAAGAATTTTGTCAGGCTCTACAAAAAGCAAGCAGTTCAAGTACCTCTTTTGTTTTCTTCATTTTTGGCTCTGTTTTCTCCTTAGGTGCTGTTGGTGGAACAGAGAAAAGTAGCTCCAAGCTTGCGTAGTCAGGCTCTACAAGCTCCTTGCTGCTGCTTGGTGTCACAGCCCACATGGAGTGGCTTTCTGGAAAAGAATAACACTTCAAGATGGACCACAGAGGTAGAGGAGTACTTTCAAGGCAGTGTGATTTGTGGAAAGGAAAATGCTTTATAGAGGATGGATGAAATACAACGCTTATTAGTCCTGGACAAATGTTAATTATTTAAGAGTGGCAGCTCTCACAGACAGCATCCCAAAGGTTTGAAGGCTAATTAAACCTGGAAAACTACCGCCACATTCGATTCACTGAACTGAAGGCAGCAACTGAACTTAATGGGCTGCTCCACATTCTTTTTTGTTATTGCTGACCAGCTACACCTCACAGAATTGTGGTACCCAAACAGGCAATGTTGCATGCAATTAGGTAAACGTCTGACTTCGCAAGAGATAAGGACTCCCAAGCCCAGCATTATTACCAGAATCATCAGGAGCCACCTGAATAACACATGGCACCTCAAAACATGAACTTGTCTGCAATGCTGGAATCTTTAACAAAGGATCTCACCTCCTTTTTCTTGTGGAGAGACTGATGGCACTGAAGACATAGGGGATGAATCTGAATTTATATCTCTGCCCAGGAAAGCAGACTGAGGCTCAAACTGCGTGTTTATGTATATTATCACAGGGACAAGTATTATCACCCCCCCCGGTGTCCCCCGTTCTTGGTGATAAGCACAATGGAGAACAACTACGAGATCTGTGTTGTGTTAACTCAGTACTAAAAGCTGCAGCAAAAATGGAGACGTTCACAGTCTCCTTGCTGAAGGTTGAACAGGACTTGCAAACCCCTTTGGCAGACCACATGTTAACCACAGACCTTAGTGTTATTTTGTGTGGAGGAAAAAACCCACACAAATCACGTGGCCATGGTCAGTATGAAATTAAGTTGAAGGCTACATCCTACCCTGAGGGTAGATGTTCCCCAGCCCCATTGACAAGAGTTTTCAGCCTCCAATCTTGGCTAATGCATCTTCTGGCTGTGCAAGGAAAGGAAAAAAAAAAAAAAGTAAAAGCTTCAGCTGAGAAGACACTCACCGGTGATGTGCCAGGATCTCATTAGGAAGAGCCACAGACCATGACTGCTCAGCAGATCTTTCCCCTCAACACACTCAAAGCATTTTGCAAACCCTTAATTAGTGCAGACTCACAACATCACTTTAACAAGTAACAAATAGAAACTGAGAGGTTAAGAGAAGATAGCAGCCACAGGGCCTCAATTCAGTGCTTTTCCCAAACTACTATTTCCTCCATTTATTGACAAAGGCCCGGCTTTCCATATTTATTTGTGATTACTCATTTTTTGTAGCACTGAAAGTAAGCAATGGGACCACCTGTGCGACCTGACTTACTGACTCAAGGCCTAGACCCCCACCATAAGCATTCTGGTTTGGATGTGAAGTAACCAAACCAATCAACCCAGTGTTACGAACAAGCACGTACGTCTCACCACATCAGAGGGGAGCTTCTGCCAGTGAAGCACCTTCATCCTCAATGTCGGTGTCTTCTTAGGGTGGGGCTGCCCCCCACATCCACAAGTAAGGTGATGACAGTCGGGATTACTGCATGACTGGGGAGGTGGGAGCCATGGGGCATTTATGCCAGGCACAGGAAGGGGTGGAGGAGGCACCTTACACCCAGGGGGTAGGGGTGGAGGGTCTGGCAGCAGAGCTGGTATAGCAGGCTGTCCTTGGGAGGATGAAGAAACACCTTGCTGGGAAGGTGACATGTTCCCCAGAGATTGCTGTGGCTTCCCAGAAAGGCCAATTGTTGGAGAAAGACTCAGGTCTGCACCGGGGTTCTCCTCTTCCAAGTCCATATCAACTTGAATGCATTTGTTCACCTTTTGAACAGATCGTCTGGACACTGCTTTGTGGTGTTTCGGGCACTGCATGCTTGATAGCAGGTTGTCTGTGGCTTGCCCTGGTCCCATTTTCCTGCTCTGTAAGACAACAAGGAGGTGCACAGATTAGCAAAGTTCCCCACAACTGCTGGTTACTGCCAGCTCCCACAGAGAAGCAGCAGTGACCTTCCCATTAAGGTAAATGGCAGAAACATTTCTATCTGCTTTACAAATGACATTTCATGGTGGTTTCAGCTGTGAGAATCAGAAACGGAGCAGTACTGCTGGCCATAAGGCTCTTTTTTAACTTCCCTTGATCCTTCCACCTTCTTGTTGTGACACATAAAAGAAAAAAAAAAGAAGATGCCATAAGCATAGTAAATCTCTACCTGGTTGTTTTTTTCCTGTTGCTGCTCAGCCATTTAGTGGGATTTTTCTATTGAAGAGATAAAAGGATGCCTCCTATGGAAGTTATTACAGGTGCTCTACAGAGGGGACTAAGACAGTAAGGACACAGCCACTTGTTCCTGAGAAACCATGTTACTACAACTTACCTTGAGTGCAGAAGGGTGGGGATTTTGAGAGAAACTCTCAGAACAGCCTAATAAATTAAATGAGCTACAGCTGAAGATGACTCAGACGGAGGTGCTTTGGGACCTGTGACCACTCAAGGAAATGACTGGTAAGCATTAAAATGAGTAAAGTGATATTACTTTGCCCTTTAACCAAATTTTCATCTAGGACAAATCTTTATGTTTGCCCTGAGTCTATACAGTTTCACTCAGAGCCTCATATAAGAGATTACGCAGAGGTCCCCATCTTGTATGTATGCCCATATTTAAACATGGAATTGGAACTACCGAAGTCATCAGAGGTATTTTCTGGCTTAGGACTTGGTTTTGTTTGTTGGACTGAGTGAAGCTTTCTTTTACAAATGTTTTTATCTCTTGTGTATGAACAGTGTCCTGGGACACTTAGTCTTGGCAGCTGTAGTTGTTTTGTGATTTCTCTCTTTAGCTAAGTTCTATAGCAATGTTCATCAGCAATGGTAGAAACACCATGTTAAACGAGGAGAGATGAGCAAACTGTCAGTGCTCCTGAAATGACAGAGTAGGGGCACCCTTTTTAGGGACTGCACGTAGGCAAAAACAAAGACTTCCATCATCCCAGCCCTTACACAAGTCTTTAACAAAGTGTACATTAATAGCATCATCAGCTTTAATGGAGTTAACTGAATGGGTAATTTCCTTTTTAGGTTTAGTGCAGAATCAGAGACTTTGTATATACACCATATTTATGTTCCCAAAGGACTAGAGTAATACTTACGAATCACTATTTTCCTCCTAACACAGCGATTTTAACTGATGTCTTACACAGACAAAACTCTTTAGGGGACCTGCATTAAAACATACAACAGGTGCATCTCTAATCCATAGCACACCTCTAATGTGTCTCCTGTAATTTGAAAGAGTTTGTCTTTGAAACCTGGCAGTTCATACTGATGATAGTGTCCAGCTCTTACAACAGCTGCAGTAAAATTGTGAACCAGTGGATCCAAGGCAAAAGAAAGCAATAAAACTTTTATTTGTGGTTTTAACCTTAATTCAGTAAGAATTACTTACATTAAAAACATTAAATGCTAACTCAACCAGAAAATAACAGTTGATTTACATACAAAATGGAAGCAGTTAAAATAGCTAATCCAAAGGCCTGTACTAGAAAATGAGTATTAACTGTATCTGCTGTTTACTTGAATTAATTTGTTGTTGGTTTCCATAAATATTTTTTTGTACAAATAGGCACTAACATGTTCCCAGAGGTAAAGCAGGCTTACATTTAATTTATGTAAACAACTTAATGTATCCCCTTTAGGACTTCACAATCTTTGTGCTAAACTTGTACAGATGTCTTTAATTATCCTAAGCAGGACAAGTGAGGGATTCAGCACTATGAAGAAGCCTAATGAGAAATAAGCCACTTTCTGCTGGAAATATTAGGAGTAAAATGAACTGATTAAAAAAAAAATCTTATTAGAAATAATCATGTTAAAATTTTGCTGCTTGTTTGTTTTAATTAAGATATTGGAGAAATCAGTAAAAGACTATTAATTAGGAAGCTCATCTTTTTTTAATCAGAGTGCTCATCTAAATTGCTACAGGGTTTGTGTACAGGAAAGTCTTGCTTTTAAAAATCCTAATAAACAAGGAATACTACACAAGAAGCAGCGAATATGCTTTGAATGATAAATAGGCTTACAATAATGTAGCTCCAAAGATTATACTTTTGAGACTGTGTAGAGAAATCCATGCTTTTAGGAAGATTAAAGCTTTGGTATAACTTCAAGGCAGCTGTAACTTACATTGCTGATACTGTTCAAATGACCTTGTGGGTATATTTAAAAAAAAAATCTCTGCATGAAATTTCTCATTAGAAAGTGCAAAAATCCACCTCTGGCATACACATACATCTCAATGCAACCAGAAAAAGGACTAGCATACTGCAGAAAGCTCGGTAATTGGCTGGCACCATTTATGCAGGACAGGGAACAGAGATGGACTCAATGCACCAGCCCAACTCTGATGATCCAGTTGAAATCAATTAACTTGCAATTAACTGTGAAGCTGTTCTCAGTGCTCTCCTACTCTAGCTTTTGTTTTATTGAGAAAGCTGCTGATGTTTGACAACTGCCACAATATAGGCTTTCATTTCCATCTGCTTACTGGCATGCTAAAAATAGGCACACTTCTTATTAGCCTACAAAGAGAAGTTGTATTTTGATGGAATAGGGTTTACATTTTTAGGATAGATCCAAAAAACATCTTACCTCTGTGTCTTGGGCCATGCAAGCACTCTCATTTTTTCATTTTTAGTGTGGCTGATGGGCTGATATAGGGGCTATGTTATTTTGTAAAACTTGATTTTCTTTGTACCTAGAAGTTCATTTATTGGTCATTACTATGCTGGAAACGGGGATTTCAATAAATACTTCAGAAAACCTGGTATTTCACATTGAGTGCTATTCCTAAAGGGTTTTTTGGAGGGGGCAAGTTGCTGTTTAAAACTGTGCCCTGTTCACTTTCAAAGTAACCATCAAAAGTGTTAAGCACAAGAGGCAATATATGCAATGCAAGATATTTTTGAGGGTAAGAAGATATACTGCTTACTAAGTGGCTGGAAGTGAGCT